GATTTTACTACCTTTTTTTTTTTTTTTTTTTTTTTTGAGAGAGAGAGAGAGAGAGTGACTGTGTGCACCAGCAGGGGAGGGGTAGAGAGAGGGAGAGACAGACAGAATCCCAAGCAGGCTCTGTGGTGTCAGCTCAGAGCTGGACATGGAGCTCGAACTCAAACTGTGAGATCGTGACCTGAGCCAAGATCAAGGGTCAGAGGCTTAACCAAGCCACGCAGGCACCCCCTACTTTTGGCTTTTAACCTTTATACTAGCTTTATAAGTGATTGATCTACTTACCTTTACTCTGTGTTTGCTTTCACCCATGAAATTTTTTCCTTTCATGATTTTCTTCTAGTTAATGTTCTTTTTCTGCTTAAAGAAGTCCCTTTAATGGCCAGTTTAGTGATGAACTCCTCTAACTTTTGTTTGTCTGGGAAGCTCTCTCGGAATAACCTTGCTGGGTGGAGTATTCTTGGTTGTAGGTTTTGGCACTTTTAATATGTTATGCCACTCCCTTTTGGTCTGCAGTGTTTCTGCAGTAAAATCAGCTGCTAGTCTAATGGACTTTCCCTTGTTCGTAACTGTTTGCCTTTTTCTTGCTGTTTTTAAGATTCTGCCTTTATCTTTAATTTTTGATATTTTAATTATTATGTCTTGGTGTGGACCTCCTTGGGTTCATCTTCTTTGGGGCTCTTTGGATATCTCTTTCTTTCCCTATGTTAAAGAACGTTTTAGCTATTATATCTTCAAATAAGTTTCCTGCCCCTTTTTCTCTCTTCTTGTGGGACGCCTATAATGCAAATGTTAGTACACTTGATGTTGTCTCAGAGACCCCATAATCTACCCTCATTTTTTAAAATTCTTTTTTCTTTTTGCTGTTCAATAGATACTTTCCATTATCCTGTCTTTCAGATTGCTGATCTGTTCTGCATCTGCTGATCTACTGTTGATTTCTTCTCCTGTATTTTTCATTTCAGTTATATTCTTTAACTCTGGTTCTTTTTTATACTTTCTGTCTCTTTGTTGAAGTTCTGAGTTCATCTACTCTTCTCTCAAGTCTGGTGAGCATCTTTATGACTGTTATCAGATAGATTGCTTATCTCTGTTGTGTTTAGTTCTTTTTCTGAAGTTTTGTCTCATTCTTTTGTTTGGAGCATGTTTGTCTCCTCATTTTGTCTGACGTTCTGTGTTTGTTTTTATGAAGTAGGTGAAACAGCCACCTCTGCCTGGTGTAGGGACGTCTCTGCATAGACTGTGTGTGCCTGGCAGCTTTGGCTGGCTGACTGGAGCATTAGTGGGTGCCAGCTAGGGGTCCCGGGGTGTTCTCTGCAGGGAGCACCCTGGCAAGAAAAACTGAAGCTGGTACAGATGAGGGTGGGATGGGCGTCTGGGGCCACCTTGGTAGGTCAGCTGGCACTTGGGTGGGTGGGTTGTGGGGGAACACCTTGGGAATATGGCTAGAGCTGGTGTGGGCTAGGGTCCCAGAGCCCACTGAGGCAGTAGGCCAGCTAGAGCGTCTAGCCTCTGTTCCCATCTGTGCTACCAACGTGGAGGGGCTCACCAGCACTTCTGACCCCAGAGAGAATTCTAGCAATCCCCACCATTTGTCAGACACTCGGGAGTTAGTGAATGGGTTTCCTTCACCTTTAATCTCATTGCCTTTTAAACCATAGCTTTTTTTTCTGTGTGCCAGGGCAGGTGAATCTGCACAGGAGTCCCTCAGTGCAATCCCTTTCTGCTACAGTCCACAGTGTCAGAGGTGGGGTGCCTGTTGTCACTATGTTTCCATCTCTTTTGCCATTCTTTATGTGGTCCCTTTATTTTTTGTTGTGCAGAAGCTGTTTGATCAGGCACCAGTTCTTCAGGAGGATTTGCTTTCTATGTAGGTGTAGAATTGGTGTGACCATGGGAGGATTTGAGTTGAGTGTCTTCCTGTGTTGCCATCTTGGACTCTCCCCTAGTCTGCTCACATTTAGTGTAATTATTGATATGGTTGGATTTGGTTCTACCTTTCTGCTGTTTTCTGTTTGTCTCATGTAGTTTTCATTTTCCCATTCTCTCCTGCAAGTTATAAACCTTATGATATTGTTTGCTTTAGTCTTACATTTTAAAAATCTAGAAATAGCTTTTTATATTTACCTACCGGTTTCACACTTCAGTGATCTTTGTTCCTTCCTGTACATTTGAAAATTATCATCTGGTGTTATTTCCCTTTAACTTTCAGAATTTCTTCCTCATGCATTGAGGTGTGGGTCTGTTGGTGATGAATTCTCTTAGCTTTATGTTTGAAAATATCTTTATTTCACCTTCATTTTTGAAAGTTAGTTTTGCTGGAATTTAATTCAAGATTGATAGAATTTTTTTTATTTCAGCACTTTAAAGAAGTGTCTTTTGGTGTCTATTTTTTCTTTTTTTATATTAATTTTTTTGGGGGTCTGTTATTTCTGATCAAAAGTTACCTATCATTAGATATAAATCCTGTATGTGATATGTTTTTTTTTTTTTCTGGCTGCTTTCAAGATTTTTTTCTCTTATCTTTGCATTTGCAGTTTGACTATGATTTGCCTAGGAGTGGGTTCTTACTATTCTGCTTTGCATTATTGAGCTTCCAGGGTCTGCAAATTGATGTGTTTTTCTCTAGTTTGGGCCATTATTTTTTCAAATATTCTTTGTGATCTATTGTCTCTTTTCAGTTACGTATGGTTAGACTATTGGATATTGTCCCACAGTTATCTAGGTAGGTAGGTTCTGTTTATTTTTTTCTTCTCCCCCCCCCAAATTGGTTAATTTCTTTTTATTTAACTTCAGCTACACCGACTTTTTATTTATTTACTTACTTTGCCTTCCTTCGCTATTAAAAAAGTGCATTGAATTTTTCATTTCATTTACTTTTCTTTCCAGCTTTAGAGTTTCCATTTGGTTCTTCTTTATAGTTTCTATTTTTCTGTTTCCCCGTAGTTTCTCTCCTATTTCCCCTTTGTCCATTCCTTATCTATATATTTTCCTTTAGCTCCTCCACGTGCTGTAAAGTTCCTGTCTGCCGATTGCAACATCAGGTCATCTTGGCTTTGGTTTCTATAGACTGCTTTTTCCTTTGAGCGTGGGTCACATTTTCTTGTTTCTTCACATGTCTAGTGATTTTTGATTCAATACTAGACATTGTAATGGTGCGTTATAGAGGTTATAGATAATGCTGCAGTCCTCCTGAAGGATTTTTGTGTCAGCAGGTAGTTAATGTGAGGACACTCAAGTTCCAAATTAGCAGTGGCTGAAATCTCCATTCAGTTCTTTTAGTTTTGCAGCTGCTGCTTTTTATCTTGGCCACCCTCTGCCCCCCCCCCCCAATGTCTCCAGCCAAGAATTTGAACAGATTTTATTTGCAGATTTGGGTGTTTGCCAGCCCTGAACCCTGTCTACGGCCACCCTGAACCATACCTCATAGAGGTTGGTGAGTGCTCTTGGGCAAAACATGCAAATTATTAAATCTAACCAAGTGCAGTTTCTTTCCTTCAAAGGCCGACTCTTCTAGTTTCTGCCTGCTTTTGCCTTCACATAATTTTTAAGTATTTTGTTCACATTTTGTAATTGTATATAGAAGGGTGATGTGACTAAGCTATTTTGTCACAGTTGGGAGCCAGAAGCCAAGCACATACCCTTTAAGACTTGCATTCATACTCCTCCTCAGCCTTGGGCTGATCCACTGTGGAGGGAACAGGGCTTTTTCCTCAGGGAGCGACAGTTTCAGACAAGGGATAGAGAGGGCACAGAGCACCATGGGAGTGTCTCAGTCAGCTTGGGGGTGCCGTACCAAAGTACCCCAGGTGGGGTTGCTTAAACAACAGAAATTTTTTTCTCAGCTCTAGACTGGAAATCAAAGATCAAAGAGTTGGCAAGTTTGGCTTCTCTTGAGGCCCCCTGCCTTGGCTTTCACATGGCCACCTTCTCCCTGTGCCCTCATGTGGCTTTTTCTCTGTGTGTCTACATCCCTGGTGTCTCCTCCTGTCTTATAAGGACACTAGTCTTGTTGGGTTAGGACCCATTATTATGCCCTCATTTAACCTTGATTACCTCCTTAAATTCCCCATTTCCAAGTACAGTCACACTGGAGATTAGGGCTTCAGTGTAAATTTGTCAGGGTGTGGGGTACACATAACTTAGTCCATAGTGGAGCAAAATCAAGGCTGGGCATGGTCTGAGAGCAGGCAGGAAAGACAGAGCTGTGTTGGATGGAAGGAATCAGAATACCTTTAATCAGTCATTAAGTCATTCACCATATAAATGCGGAATGCTGCTGTGTTCCAGGCACATAGTGAAGGGCTAATGGTTCAGTATGGATGGACACGACTGGCCCTGGCCCTGTTCTCCGGAGCTCACAGCCGAGGAGGATAAAAAGATGTGTAGACAGACTGTGATATTGCAGTGACGATAGAGGACATACAGGGTTCCTTGGGAGAGTTGAGGAAGGGGTCCTCAAATAAAGCTATGGGTCAGGGAAGGCTTCCTTGAGAAAATGCCTTTCTAAACTGAGACCTGAAGTATGAGTCAGGAATCAGCTGTGGAAGAAAAGTGCTCCAGGCCAGGCACAGGGATTGGCAAATGTGAGGGGCCTTAGTGTTGGGGGGGGGGTCTGCATGCTGGACAAACAGAAAGTCATTTAGCACAGCTGGAGCTGGGGACCCTGTGGGAGCCGGGTGGTCAGGGATAAGCCCAGAAAAGTAGTTTGGGGCCAGCTTCCTTGTTGAATCTTAACTTTGTCCCTCCAGATGGGAGATTCTTAAAGAGAATAGCTGTGTCTCCTTCCTCTTGGGGTCCTCTTTCTGGCACAGGAAGTGCATAGTGAATGTCAATAGGTGCCACGTGTTATGATTTAGGGGTAGGAGGCTGAGGTGGGGAGGTTGGGTGTGTGGGTGACCTTGCCTCCTTGGTAAAGCAGGTCAAGGGCCTGGAGATTGCCAGCTGCCTCTGACCTCACCTGCCCCAGGGCTCCGGGTCTCATGTGTGGTGGTGTTTTTCAGCCCTGGACAGCGAGTCTGCCTCTAGCAGCATCCGCTTCAGCAAGGCCTGCCTGAAGAACGTCTTCTCGGTCCTGCTCATCTTCATCTACCTGCTGCTCATGGCAGTGGCTGTCTTCCTGGTCTACCAGACCATCACAGACTTCCGCGAGAAACTCAAGCACCCTGTCATGTCGGTGTCTTACAAGGAGGTGGATCGCTATGACGCCCCAGGTAGAGCCTGTCCCGGAGGGGCATCAGGGCCCAGGTCTGGGGCATTGGCTTGCAAATGAGCCACCGTTGCACTCCCACACCGGGCTGGGCACCACGGGTAGACAGAGGAGCCGAGCACAGTCAAGGTGAAGAGTACACACCCAGAGAGCTGCTGTCAGTACCCAGAGGAGCGTGTCATGTGCCAGGGAGAGGGGTGCACGGAGCCTGGAGTGGTCACTGCGTAACTGGGGTGGGCACGGAATGCTTTGCACGGAGATAGGATTTGAGCTGGGCTCTGATAGACAAGAAGAGAGTTTTTCTGGAAGGGGGATTAGCAGGCGCAAAAGTAAGTGTAGGGAGGCAGAGGGCTCCTCTGGAGAGGATGTGTATAGCCCGGCTGGAGCCGGAGGCTAGTGATGAGGGGCAGGGGAGGTAAAGCCATTCGGAAGTGGTTAGGGCCCTGCCTGGGGAGCGGGCTCACTGCTGTTCCTGTTCCGGTGGGAGGCTGGGCCCTGAGGAGGCTGTCGTCTCTGCTATAGAAGGTAGTCTCCTTCAGGGCAAGCGGGGCTGGCTCTGGGCTCTGGAATCGTGGGAGTGAACCGGAGGCATGAGCTCTGTGGCCTCGGCTGTGCCCCGCTGGTGTGTGCACCTGCTGTGCTCTCAGGATGCCAGAGTCCCCCTCTGGATGGCCTGCCCACAGGGCACAGCCAGTCTCTGGTACCTTCCACCTGGGCTTCTTGGAAGTGTGCTGCTTGTAGCTTCTTCACCCATCTTTGCCTGTCTCGTGTTCGTCCCTCTTTGTGTGTCTGTTTTGGTCCCTGTATCTGTGGGCTGTACTTTCTGTTGCTGATCTCTGGGTCTCTCTGAGCTCTGCCGGGATCTGGTGCCACATGCTGCTCTCATGCTGCTCTCTTTTGTCTCCGTCAGTGGAGCCCCACGGTGAGGTGCTGGGGTTGGGGCGGGGGAGGGACCTTTGGGGCGTGAGTTGCACACCTGGAGGCCCCAGCCAGAGCAGGAGGTGAGAGGCACGGTGACAGGTGGGGAGTCCCGCAGCCGAGCCGAGGGTCTTGCAGTGAATCCGCCTGCGGATGGAGGCGCTGCCGGGCCCGGCCGCGGAGCCCCCGCGGGGTGTGCCGAGCAGGGCGGGGAAGTAGGGTGGGTTTCGGTGCAGGTGCCAGGGAGGCTGTGCCCCAGGCCAGGAGAGGGGCTTTCTGAGGGCAGCAGCCGTGGCTCTCCACCCTCCGTAACCCTCTTCTTCTCCCTCCTCTGCCGTCACCCAGAGAGTCTTGAACTTGGGTTGTTGGTGGGTGTGAAAAACTGTGTGTGATGTGACTGTAGGGATACGGTGGGGGACCGTGACTTCTGACACTCCCATTTTCCTGTTCGTGCTCCCCTAGGTATTGCTCTGTACCCCGGTCAGGCCCAGTTGCTCAGCTGTAAGCACCACTACGAGGTCATCCCACCCCTGAGGAGCCCTGGCCAGCCTGGGGACATGAACTGCACCACCCAGAGGATCAACTACACAGACCCTTTCTCCAACCAGACCCTGGTAACTCCTGTCTCCCCACGCCAGGCCTGGGCAGCGCACGCTGTCCACCCCGCACCCCGCAGCCCCCGGTCTTCTTCCTGCCACGAGGCCACTCACACTCCCCTTGTGCAGGCCCTTGGCCCCCAGTGACCACGAGGCTGTCCCAAATCGGGTCATGGCCATGGCTGGCTGGCTGCATCAGGCAGGGCTGTGAGGGCGTCAGCATTCTCTGATCCTCAGGGATTCCTGACAGTGCGATCAGATCCTCTCCTTGCTGGAAGGATGCAGGGCGAAGCCGGTGGGACGTAGTCAAGTGAGTCCCATTACCTGACTGCCCAACACAACTGCCAGGGTGCATTTTGAAAATAAAGATTCCTAGGTTCCATGTGGGGCCAGTCACTCCTAGGGAATCCATGTTTTGAAATAAATATGTAAAGAAGCTGGTCTGGGAACAAGGACCCCAGCACTGGCATCACTCACAGCTCAGCCCAGCAGGGTTGGGGGGAAGGTGAGGGTCAGTGGCACCTGCACAGGGTGTCAAAGGCAGGGAAGGAATTTTACGTTTATGTACATCTTTTTGCATCCCATATCCTTGTTTCGGAAAGGATTGAATGGGACTGAGTAAAAGCTTTCTAGATCAAAGTGAGGAAGGAAGGGTTTTCAAGGTAGAGGAAATAGCAGGTTGCATTTGTGTCTGCACTGTTACAGTAGTTGGGTGTGTGTGGAGGGTCAGGTGCCCCCGGGAGCGGCGAGCGGCGGGAGGCGAAGCTGCGGATAGAAGTAATGGCCAGGTGAGGAGAGAGTGAGTGGTCTGCCCTGGAGCCTGACTTGCCCCCCTGGGTCTAAGGTAGAAGAGTCACACTGAGGTGGTTCTGATGACCTTTGTTCCAGGCCTCCTCCTGAGATCCTGCTCAAATGGTTCCCTCGCCTGCAAAAACTGGAACAAAATAAAGTATCCATAAAAGTCCCACAAACCCAGGAGGGGTATCACCAGTGGACTAGGCGTTTTGAGCCGGTGTAAAATAGAAGTTGGGTCAGGTGGGTGGGGCAAACAAACCAGAGAAAGGCCACGCCCTACAGCGGGCGCAGGAGAGGCTTCAGGAGAGGTGAAAGCCTTCCTTCTGGCTCCCAGCTCCCGAGTCAGCTCACCCAAAGGGCAGGGCAGCGGTCAGGACAGTCATCACGGGACAGTCATCATGGGACCGGGCGGCTGCTCTCCTACCCTCCCAGGGCGCGCAGAGCTGCTGGGGACGGCGTTTCCTTCCGGGTACGAGGCCCAGGGGCCATTCCTATGTACGCAAGCCCTGGGTAGGTTCCCTGCTTGGGCACTGGGGCAGCAGAGAGAAACGGAGCAGAACTGGAGACTGGGCCTCCACGGTGCAGGGGAGGGGACAAGTACTGGGAAGGAATCTTCACACAAGAGACACGCCAAGTACCTGGCCTGGCATTGCCTGCCTGCTGCCACAGAGCGTCAGCCCCAGGCAGGGGCGCCGGTGAGGACAGCCACACCCCAGCCCTAAGCTAGTCACCCTGGTCCTTCTCTCGGGAGTGGGAATGGACAGCGAAGGCTCGCTAGACATTTACGGGAAACCGACAGCCTAGGAGAGGACCAAGAGGAATAAAAGAGAATGGACTCCAGAACAGGGCAATGGATGCTAATTTAAAGGAAAGGGAGAATAATTTGTAAACATTTTACGGAAGAGCTGGATGTGCCGTAGAAACACCATGCGGATTCCCGGCCGCTTCTTGCCGGCCGCTCTGGGAAACATACCAGTCGGAGGGCCGGGCAGTGCACATGCGGGTCTGTGGGTGTCCTTCCTGTCGGTGCCCCCTGAGCGGACACTTCCCAGGAGCCCGTTGCCTTCATTCCCAAACCTGTGTGTGCTGCTTGTGCTTACTGCGGTAATTACGTAATTTAAGTATTATAAACACCCATGAAATAAGAGCACAAAAGTTATTTTTTAATATATATAATTATTTTCAGTTTATTCATTTATTTTGAGAGAGAGTGCACGTGGGGAGGTAGGGACAGGGAGAGAAGGGGAGAGGGAGTCGCAAGCAGGCTCCACACTGTCCAGCCTCAGAGTCCAGTGCAGGGCTCGAACTCAGGAACCGTGAGATCCTGACCTGAGCTGAAACCAAGAATCCTGGCTTAACTGACTGAGCCAGTCAGGCGCCCCAGGGAGAGTTGTTTGTATGGAAACTGCAGTGAAGGCAGTTATTGCGGCCAGCTCTGGGTGAAGGTCAGTATTCTCCAGCAGTTCTAGATGTGGTTCCTTTCAGAGGAGTTTTGCCCTCAGGCCCCACAGTGGCGGAGGAGGAGGAGGGATGGGGGAGCGCAGGGGAGGGTAGGGGAGCCCCCGCCCCCCCCCCCCACATACATGTGCACTTACGCTGGGAAGTAGGGCCTGGCAAGTGGCAGCAAGGACATTCCCTGAGTAGGGGGGAGGTGTGGCTCATCCTATCTCGCACGCAGGGAGCACCTTGGTTAGATATCTGTGTCCTTGATCGCCCCTGGCCTTGGCCACTGGGAGACTTTGCATGGGTAGAGATCCTCCGGCGCCATGCCTGGGGTGGACTTTAGAAAATATGCCCTCTGGTGCACCCGCTTCCTGCTGTGTAGGCTGACACCTTGCAGAATTGGTGTTTGGCTTGTGGGCTTGTCCTTTACTCTGCTCCAGCTCCGCCTCCTTTGTTTGTAGTAGGAGGTCTCAGAACCCTGTAGGCTGCTGGCTGTCTGCCTCCTGGCTAGTCTGTGTGAAAGTGACACTCGAGGGCGGGGGTTGGTGCTCATCTGACCTGCTTTGTCAGATTTCAGATTCTCATTGTTTTCTAGTGTCTCTTGTGCCCTCGGTTTAGCTAACTTTTTTTTTTTTAACATTTATTTATTTTTGATAGAGAAAGAGTGTGAGTGGGGGAGGGGCAGAGAGAGAGGGAGACACAGAATCCAAAGCAGCGTCCAGGCTCTGAGCTGTCCGCATAGAGCCGGACACAGGGCTGTGAGATCACGACCTGAGCCAAGGTTGGAGGCTTAACTGACCGAGCCACCCAGGCACCCCTGGTTTAGCTAACTTTTACTGCACACTTTGCTCTGCCACAATTAGGGCCACCGTCTTTCCAGCTTGTAGGAATGTCAGCCATATTCCCACTGTCCAGATGTTAAGTCCTTGTCTCTTTTAGATGGTTCCCACAGCACTCCAGTTCCAGAAAATAACTTTGTGCATTGGGCAGAGAATAGACTAAACTGCTGTGCAAAAGCAAACACCCCAAACAGACCCAGTGGCTGAGACCAGAGAGAAGTCTGTTTCTTTGGAGCCGGTCGGGCGTGCAGGCGGTGGGCATGTTGGGCCATGCCGCCTCGCAGGGCGGGCAGCGATGGCTTCTGTCTGCCACTCCACCATCCCCGTGGTGCAGTCTCGGTCCTCGTGGTCAGCCATGGCTTGCCAGCACGTGTATGCGTTTTCCGCTCTGGGAGGGTGCGACGTGGAGGACAAGCGGTGCCCTGTCTCGGGGCACAGTGTGGAGTCTCGTGAGTCACTTTGGTGCACATTCCAGGAACTTCATCACATGGCCACGGCCGAGGCCAGAAATGAGGCTCCAGCAGGGTGACTGTGCTGCTAAAATGTGGGATTGGGGAAGCGGTTCTAGTTCTCCAGGAGGAAGCGGGTAGTGGGAACAGAGTGCATTCTCTGCTGCCACTCAACGTGTCATGGAAAGGTTGAAAATAAATAGATGGACGGAGGTTTCCTGGGAAAAATGCAACAAGAGGCAGAACAAGTGAGTGGGCACGTGAACGTCAGTCACACTGCTGTACCGGGTGTCAGGGGTTACAAGAGATGTTTAATTCAGATAAAAAACTATACTATTCTCCACTAAGAATTAAGAGTTACAGATCTTTGCAAAATAGCATTCCTTTTGTATGTTTTGGGCAAAACCTATTAGGAACAAAAAATTCCATTGCCTTGAAGTGTGACTAAATGCACACGTTCCTCTTTCGCATTCGCGGATCGAATAGACACAAAGTGGGATAAGGACTGAGCGGCACAATTCGTTAATGTGCAGTGAGTGTGCCTGTAGCACCTGTGCCTGATGGTGCCCGCTCTTCGACATCTGGAGAGCATTTATGGAGGTTACTGCTGTACAGATGTTTATCTGTAATTCATTAATCTGTAAATCATTTATGGTAATTAATCTGTAAATCCAGCGTCATCACAGTTAAAAGTCCCAGTTGTTTTTTTCATGGAATTTAACAGTCCAGTTTTAAAGTACATGGAGAAGAACACGTGTGTGAAAGTCACCCGCTGGGGGTGGTGGTAGGAGGCACGTCGCGGAGGGGACCTGCCCGGTCACATGGCAGAACAGTGTAGACCCGCAGGGATCAACTCCGCATCTGTCCCTCGTCTGGGGAGCGGGAGGTAGGTCCCTCTTTCACACCAGATGCAAAGCTGAAAGCCACACACATAAAACGTCTGAATGTAAAAAAGTTTAAAAAGCACTATAAAGAAAAGGAGAACGTGGATGTAATTTTGGTTTTCCTTCGCAAGCAAAACCTGGAAGCCATAGAGAAAAAGATTTACAGATATCACTGTATCAAATTTAAAGCTTCATCTAACAAGTGACATAAGAAACAAAGCTAATGGCAAAGCGACAGACCGGAAGAAGACATTTGTCCGCATACTGGACGTACGTTAGCGTCCCTTCCGAGGGCGTCCGTAGCACAGGCAGCCAGTGAGGAAAATGAACGGAGGACGGTTGCTCCCAGCGCTGGGCCAGGCGCTAGCCCGAGAGTCGCGCTGTGGGGCTGAGCGGGAGCCAGCCGTGGGCAGGAGGGGTGGCCTGTGGTCAGCTGGGGGCCGCTGGGCAAGGAGTTTGCTGGTCACCCTCAGTGTCTCTGGGGCCACAGGCGGGGCTCCCACAGGGCTGATTCTGGCCCTTGTCTCTCTGCAGAAATCAGCCCTGATCGTGCAGGGGCCCCGGGAAGTGAAGAAGCGGGAGCTGGTCTTCCTCCAGTTCCGCCTGAATGAGAGTAGCGAGGACTTCAGTGCCATCGATTACCTCCTCTTCTCGTCTTTCCAGGAGTTCCTGCAAAGGTGGCGTTTCCAGTCCGTGCCGGGCTTGCCGCACGCGGTCTCCTGTCCGCTTGCTTATCCCGGGCCGGGGTGGGCAAGCGGGGCAGTGATGGGGGCCCAACTCCAGGGACTGACCTGGAGCCTAGCTGTCCAGGAAACCTGGCTTCACTAAGGAAGCGGGTCTGGTGTGGCGAGTGTTCGGACTTGGAGGCAGAGGCTTGGTCCTGCCCGTTCGGGGGGCTAAGGCGAGAGGAGCTGCCTTGGACCCTGTGAGCCCCCTGAGGGCAGTCCCTGCCTCTGCCGGGTCTCCCCTGCGGTGTCGTGGGCAGCATGTCCAACACGCGGTGTGTGTTTGCCACACGTTTTTAACACGGGGATGAAGCTTCCTGTCTGCGTGGGGGACACACTGGGACCCAGAGTGCCCAGTGGGGGCGGTAGCCACCCCAGAGGAGAGGCGGCTCCCCCGGGCTGATGAGGCCATGGGCCACCTCCCCTACTCATGTACCACTGCTCCATCCTTCCTGATCTGGGGCTTGGAGCCTCTGCTGTGGCGTCTTCCACCCCGTCTGTCCCCCAGCATTCCCTCTGCCCTCCCTGCGTGGAGCCGAGGAGCTGTCCTCCCCTCACTGGGCCTCCCGGAGGGAGGCTGGCAGCCCAGCGAGGGCTCCTCAGGGCCACCGAGGGCCAGAGTTGTCATGCTGGCGGGCGCACCTGCCCGCTCAGGGCCAGTGCTCTTGGGAGCAGGGGTTGGGGGGAGCTGCCTCGTGGCGGGTGACAACTCTCCCTCTGTTCGGAAGCCTAGAAGCAGAGCTTGGAAAGGAAGCAGGAAGTGGGCCCTGTCCTCGTGGCGGTAGCCGAGAAACCGGCTTGGAGTAGGGGCTGGAGTTTGAGTCCAGCCGACTTTGAATCCTGCTGTTGGGCCTAACTTGGCCCCTTCTTCTCTGTCCGCCCAGCCCAGACAGGGTGGGCTTCATGCAGGCCTGCGAGAGCGCCTATTCCAGCTGGAAGTTCTCCGGTGGCTTCCGCACCTGGGTCAAGATGTCCCTGGTGAAGACCAAGGAGGAGGATGGGCGGGAAGCAGTGGAGTTCCGGCAGGAGGTAGGTGGTGCTGGGTGTGCTTCGCACCGTTGCCCGCTTCCACCCTGGAGTCCGGGGTGGACAGAAGCTTCGCAGGAGAGAGGACCTTGGGGAAGTCGTATGGTGAGAAGGGACCCCGTGCCAGGGAGCGGCCATGTCCCGCAGGCTGGGCACGCTCTAGGCCTTTGCCTGGGCTGCAGCCGGTCCTCCCCAGACACGTGGGCCAAGCAGGGACGCCTGCATTTCACAGAGCAGGTGGCGCGCCCAGCACAGTCCGTGTTCTTGGCCGTCAGAGGCCGCTGGCCTCGTGGAAGATAGAGGACTTGCAGGGAAGACAGACTAGATACAGTGGCCTCCGAAGTGTGGTGCACGTGAGGGTCCATTGAGATGCATGAGGAAAATATTAGCTTGCTTTTTGAACTAATTTCTTGATCTCATCCTTTTTCCATTTTTGAGTGTTTTGAACATTAGAAGAAGAGTAATGTTTACGTCACTTCTGAGGAAGTCATGTATGTGGGGTATGTACTCAGAAATGTGTTACTAATGGGAAGTGTGATTGAAAGCTTTCAGCCCACTAGCCTGGAACCAGGAGATGTGCCCGAGGTTTCTAGCTACGGTCTCGGCAGCAGATGGGGGAGGACCTTGGGAATGGGCCTGGCAGTGGGGATGGGGGGCAGGGGACATTTTGGTTGCCGTGGCAGGGCTGTTTGCCAGTCATCACTGAAAGCAAGGCTGCACCCCTACCTTTGGAACTTTCACCTCCGCGGTGGCAGCCCCCTTACCCACACCTACACCCTGAGGCCACCGTCCTGTGTATCAGTGGCCGAGTGCCTACAGAGGTAGCGAGGGAGTCTGTTCTGAAAACTTGGCTCCTCCTTGGAGGTGTTTCAGCAGGCTGGACCCCGAGGGGCAGCACTGGGAAAGGCCTGGGTTGGAGTAGGACCTACTCCCAGCGACACGGGGCTGTCGTTGGGCAGAAGCCATGCGCTTGTCCGGGCCCACCCCTTCCCTGTGCCCTGGCCTCTCAGACTGGAGAGGAGGAGGGTTTGGGAGGGGCTTCAGGCCGGTTTTCTTCAAGAGGACAGGCTTTGTTCCTGCCTCAGGAGGTGGAACCTACCCCCCTAGCCCCCCCGGCAGTGGGTCCCTAAAGTGTTCCCAGTTTGTAAGGTAACTGTCACGTCCTGGATTTTTGCTCCACGCTTTTCTCCGAGAACTCCCGAGATCTTCCTCTTCTGGCCCCACAGCAGCCGAGGAAAGGAGCCTCGATGTGTTCACCGTAGTCAGGTGCAGCCTGGGTCTGCCCGGCTCGCCCCACGGTTCAGAACCCAAAGACCTAAGTCCCAGTGAACATGTCCATTTTCCCATGTTTGTGCCGTTCGTGATTGTCTAAGTTGGAAGTGTTTCGGTGGGTGACATGAACCCTTTTGAACAAAGTTGAAAAATGTTTTTTATGTAGTGTTTTGAAGTTTAAAATACCCATGTCTTATCTCATTTGATCCTGACCACACCTCGGTGATGCAGGCATTTTGTCTGCTGCTCTGCAAGTGGCGAAGCGTGAGGCTCAGCTCGGCGGTGGAGCCGCCCTGTGGCCGGGGCTGGGCTCTGCCTCTGGCACCAGCCGCTCCCCGTTATACCGCGCAGATTAGCAGCTTCTAGTCATCGATAACCAGATCTTACCAGACATGCCTACTAAATACTTAACAGGGAGTGAGTGCTCAGCCGGGCGGATCTGTGAGGTTGCGCTTTGTCTGTGTAAGACCTGAAGGGTTGAAAGACTTAGCTTTTAAGATCAAGTATTTTGAAATTCGAGACTTTTATGACTTATAATTGGGTCTTCACATGATACTTTGGATACGATTTAATCATGAGTCCAGATATCTCAGGACAGATTTTGGTGACAATCCAGGACACCCATTGTACATCCCAGATGCTGTTTTCCCAGAGAGCTGGAAACCGAAGTCTTGGCCCTGGTTCCAGTTTCAGGATTTGTGTATGAGATTTTTGGCTTTCTCCCTCCAGAAGATGATGTGAAGAGAACCAAGGACCAAGATCCCCTAACTTCCTTCTCCTTTCCTGCAACCCAGGTGAGGCAGGGGCGCAGAGGTTGTAACGCTTTCTCCTCTCTCTACCTAGACGAGTGTGGTTAACTACATTGACCAGAGGCCGGCCGCTGAAAAAAGCGCTCAGTTGTTTTTTGTGGTCTTTGAATGGAAAGATCCTTTCATCCAGAAAGTCCAAGATGTGAGTATTACTTAAGGTTACAAGAGCAAACACCCTGTGCTGAGGTATTTTGGCTCATCCTTCCAGGCTGTCCTCCTCTTCTCTCATGGCACAAATCATTTTTTCATTTATGACATTCATGTCCTGTATTTGTGTTTAATTGATCTTATCATCACTAGACAGTTGTCCCCGTGAACGTGGGGGCTTCCTCTTTTGTCCGCCATTATTTATGTGCTGCCTGGCGGAGTGCTTAGCACAGAGTACTTGCTTAGTAGTATTGAGTGGAGCGAGTAGAAAACCTGGGTTGCATTAAGCTAATGTCTAGATTATTGCTACTGGAAGCCATTCTTTTTTTTTTTTTTTTTTTTTTTTTTTTTTTTTGGAAGCCATTCTTTTTTCATAGGTCTCTGTTGGATAATAATCATTATTTGTCAGAGCAGAAACCTACAAGTAAAAATGAACACTGCCTCAATTAATGCCAGATTCCCAGACGCAGTCTCGGAAGAGGAGGGATGATAAGACAGCTTTGCTAGAGGAACGTTCTGGGGAGACGCCATCCCCCGGAGGCAGTCCCAGATCTGACACTGATTGGCGTTTAGGTAATCCCAGAACGTGCCGATGTGGTCGGAGCTCAGGGAAAGCGCCTTGCACGGCTAGGCCCATGTGGTGGAGGGTCTGTGTGACCTGTAGTGCTCCCTGATCACGCACCTCCACCACGAACCGGGGACGGGAAGGGCCACTTATGCAGGGGCGCGTGCGGCTCGCTGAGTCCGGATCTGGGTGGAAGAGTGAACGTCTTCAGTTCTACACGTGAAGTGTGTGAGCACACGTTTTTCACTTACACCATTCGGTAGGAAGTGCCCATTGAGACGAGTAAAGCCCACGCTCGAGGCCTGCTTTTCTCGTGTCATCACTCCGCTTCATCATGGTCCTGAACAGTGGTGCCGGTGTAACCGTTTTGTATCTGTGGACCCTGAAGCTCAGATTGTCCAAGGTCACCCTGCTGAACAGACTTGAAAGTGCTGTGGGTACCATGCTGGGGACTCAGAAAGAAATCCAAGCTGTGACCTTGACCTAGAAGCGTTTAACATTTAGTGAGTGTAGTCGATAGCTGTGAAGCGACTCATTCCAGACAGACAGTAGCTGCCAAAGGGCTTTGTGGGATAAATGTTTCTGCCAGAGGGTTTCTCGGCTTAGTGGTCAGAGAGGGCTCCACGGAGCCGTGAAGGATCAGTGAACTCGAGTAAGAGGAAAGCGTCGCAGGCTGGGGGGCTCAGGGCATGGCCTGAAGGCAGACGTCCGGCGGGTGACACTGTCACTGGACTGCGTGGAGGGCAAGTGCGAGTAAGTGTGAGACGGGAAGAAAACGAGTAACTGACCTTCTGGAGTAGGTAGTTCTGGGGAAATTTGTCTCCAAGCCACTTCTGGGGATTAGGCTAGAAATTTATTTTTATTTTTATTTTTTTTTTAAAATTTTTTTTTTTTTTCAACGTTTATTTATTTTTGGGTTCAGAGAGAGAGAGACAGAGCATATTAGTGACGGGGGAGGGAGGGCGAGAGAGGGAACTGGGGGGAGAATCGGAAACAGGCTCCAGGCTCTGAGCCATCAGCCCAGTGGTGTGGTTGGACAGCCTGGCTGAAGTCGGACGCTTAACCGACTGCGCCACCCAGGCGCCCCTAGGCTAGAAATTTAAACCTCAGTACTGAATATCTGATTTGTGCAGAACTTTTTTGAGAAAGTTTATTTTTTTCAGGATCACTTTATAGTAGGAAGGGATTAGTATTTTCTTCAGCTTGAGCTTCTTACATTAAGGTCTTAGAACATTACAGAGTCATGGCCGTTTTAGAACCCAAGTGTTTTTCTTGTAAAACCAATAATCTCTGGGCAGGAGGATGACGAACACTTTCGATGTGTGACCTAGAATCAGTTGAGAGGTAAACTGATGCAATGGTTCGTTTGTTTCAGATATTTCGCCAATCCTTGGAACACAATCGCCCTGCTCTGTGGGGCCTTCTTGATTATTTAAAAGCGGCCGAGTTTGATGTGTTGTGTGGGTGAAGTCAAAGATCAGAAAAGAACCTTAAAAAAAAAAGAGAAGTCAGGCGTGAACCACATAGGCCTTGTGTTAAAACTGCTCTAAACAACATGAGTTCTGGTCACTTCCGCGCGGAGAAACGAGCCGCCGGCAATCCTGTGCTCACTTGAAACGGGCCTTGCTGGGAGGAACAGCCTGCCAGCCTGCAGCTTCTAACCTGGCCCCAAAAGAGGATGTTTAAAGCCTGATGGAACAGATCCAGTGGGTAACCTAAAACTTATTTAAGTATTTAAATTATTCCTGAACAGATGACGAGGGATTGTGGAAGATGGAATTAGATCTGTATCAACTTTTCTGAAGGTTTGTGGAAGTTGCCTTTCTTCTTACTTGGTTTGGTGCACAGTTAAGCTCTAATGGGGTAATGAAGGCTCTACTTTTTACTCTAGCTTCCCCTTCCGCCCTAGTTTTCTAAAGTGGACAGAAGAGTGTGATTTTCTTTTTTCCCCAAATCCTGACTCTGCAGATGTACAGGTTATGCTTTGAAACCTCTGCACCCTGTACCCAAAGGCAAGAACCCTGTCGTCTCTGACGTCATCTGCCGTATCTCTTGGCACGCTTTCTCATTTGTTAAATAAGAAATGGGACTTTTTTGTAAAGCTACTAGAAACCAGGAATAAGATTTCTTGTGGACTGACTAGCCACCTACCTGTCTGGCTAGAATATTTGTTGATGGAGGTGTAAGAGTGTAGAGTCATTAACATGCAAAAGCCCTGGGCCATATGTACATAGGAGGTGCCTACTCAATGTATCTTGATGATTTTATTAACAGGTAAATAAAAGTTAGGTTAATGCAAAAGGAGTCAGTGTGCCAGTATGAATACCTGCTAAATCAGTAGGCACCGGTACACTTTCATTCTGTGACCAAATGGCAGCATGAGCTCGGACTCCCAAGATGGAGGGATCTGGACTCCCGAGGTAGGTCATGAATGCGTCCAAGGAAGGGTCGGGGTGGGGTGTGGCGATGGATGGCAGGAAGAGTGGCAGAGCCAGCCGCGTTAAGTGGGGTTCTCTTCCTGTCCTATAAAAGCAGCTGAGAAAGGGGTACTCAGTGTGACCCCCCCAAAGCCTTCAGCTTAGCTTTTGACAAAGATGAGTACTGAAATGTTTTTCACATCAGCCGATTTAAGGTTTTGAGAATTGTCTGCAGAGTTTCAAATTACTTACATGCCCCTTTGCTCCAAAGAGGACTTGATAACACTGGATTTCGTAACCTGGCTTTAGGTAGTTTAAAGAGGAATTATTAAAGGTAAACTTGTGCCAAGAAATATTCCCTGGTACTTTGCGATGCCAGAGAAGCATGCACATTCATGCTAGCCTAGATCTCGTCTCTGTGCAGTCTTTTTGTGAGGCAAATGCGAAGCCAGGCAGAGAAGCTTACGTTAACAACGTTGGAAAACGTGTGTGTGTGTTCTGTCTCTAAAGATGACACCACTTTAGTAATACTTCAATATCTAATAAAATTAGCTCAAATAAACACACTAAAACTGCATTTCCTGTATTGTGGAAAGTTGAGAGACCTCTTAAATGCGCTTTAGGATAAGTAGATAATTAGGAAGTATTTTTAGCTTGCCAAAGAAAAAAACTTTCCTAACTACAGCTGCAGCCTGTCAGAATCCACTGTGGCTGCTCTTCGGTGAAAGAAACGTGTAAGTCTTCCACTGCGCAGACATTTAGACCTAGCCTTCACTTTCTGGAAAAGGCAGGGGCTTGCCGTTGACTCTGTGTCCTGTAGTAGGCTCACCCTGGTCTTCCAGGGCTGCCCCCAGCCGTAACACTGGCTGGCCTCGGGTTAGTGTGGCCAATTCGGCCAGAGCCCCTGGACCTGGATGGCTGGGGGAAGGTGGCTACTGGAGATCATAAACTGTGAGCCATGCACCCAAAGGAAGAGTTTCTCCTGGGGCCACAGCGAGTGAAAAGGGATGCTTGTACAGTGACCTAGGAATAGCACGCAAAACGCTAGACTTCTTCATGAATGCAAAGGAGTGGAGAGTTTGTACTGTCTGATGTCTGACTCTGCCACCGTTTCCCTAAACCACTCCTCACCCAAAGAAGTAGCATTTATTATAAACTTAGAGATTTTTAATTAAAACCGACATTTAAGGTAATTTGAGCCTGTTCTCTGAACATAGAAGGACATGAAGATGAAAGGCTAGCCTAGAACTTAGAATTTTAGGCAGACATTGTATAAAGAGGCAGCAGACTGCTTCTGGATGTCTCAGAGCTGGAAAAAGCAAAGACCACATCGGCAAAATACAAACATAGACTTTATTAAATGCTGCTCAATCCCCCAATGAAGATCTTTCGTTACAAAACAGTTTTCCACACAACTGCAAGTAAAGAGATTGGAATGGTACTCATAACAAAAGAGGTGAGAAATACTTGACCAAGTGAAAACATACAAGACCTCTCTCTAGTCAGCTTGCTCAGAACTCTACAGGGGCAGCCTAGTGCGTTTCCTTTAAATAAAGCCAGCCAGTGACCGTGAGTGCTCTGTGTCACCACACTGGGGGACTCAAAGCCTCCTTCCCTGGGTCAGCAGGGGCTGGAAGGAAGGGCAGGTTCTGAGGACTGGAAAGGCCCTGCCTTCAGCCTTTGGGAGGAAGAGGAGGAATGAACTGAGAGGCAGGCTCAGCGTTTACCTGTGCTGCCTCCACAAATCTGGGCTCATTACTGTGGGGAGTTGCAGATGAAGAGGGATATTCTTGAGGAACAATCTAAAGAATTTGGTTTACTTTCCCAGCTTTTATTTATATTTTGTGCTTTAAAAAGCCTGGAGATTTAAGTTTCTGCTCAAATTCCAGAGTGCAGCAACTCTAGTGAAGGAAGGCTTAGGGCAGGTAACTCCCCCCCCCCCCCCCCATCATAGTTCTTTTTCCTAGGATGTAACTAAGGTCTGCAGCAATGTGAAAAGCACATTATAAAAGGGAAAAATATACAGAGCAGACTACTGTATCTATGTGCAACACAATCAAAAAAAGAATTCAAGTCATAATTCTTACCACTCCCATAATTAGCTCACTCATATCATAGATGATGAAGTTCATTCATTTCTGTGAAACTGTAGAAGTGACACAATAAATCCATGATTAGACAAGGTTACAATATACTGTGGCCATGATACAGCACAGGGCTATGTTTAGTCCATATTTTTCATTTACAGTTGCCAGAAAAAAAGTTGGCCTTTTAATTATATTATACTGAGAGGTTTGTCTCATAATTTTTACATATTTCAAAAAAGTGTACAAAACTGCCTATCCAACAGGTGGTGGCTTTTTTTATTCGTCACTTGTATTGCTGAGAATACTGTGCATGTTGTAAGCACTGTTCTGCTTTTCCAAAGCTTTCTTTAGCTTTAGCTCCTCTAATTTTTTCCATAACTCTTCACGTTCCAATTCCTTCTTTTTCTCTCTGTAGAGAAACCAAAATTTTTGTAGTCAGAAACCTTTAATTTAGGGCCTGAAGAAAGTTGCTGTTTGGCAGTCTGCTGGAGAACGCATTGTTCACCCCCATTTCATTTAACTCCCTCTCCTAAAAGCATCTGAGCTCCAATTACTTGGACACCTGATTACTCTTGTCACTCTCCTGTACCAACGCAGAGTGACTCCTTGCTTTCTCTCTGCTCCATGTTCTCACTTCCATGACCACTTTGTCGTTCATGCTTTATTATGTTCCCTTTCTCACCTAAACCTCTTGCAGTCACCCTGGTTGGCACAGTCACCCTTTTACAGAGACAGAAGGGCTGGCTCTCAGGCTGGAGCCACTTCCAGGTAGAATCACCTCTCTAGCCACTAACCAGTCTCTTACTCTGTCACCTCTTACGTGTCATGAGAACTTTAAAGTCTGAATCATCTCTGGAAAAACAAAACTCAAAATATTTTATATGTTTCAACTATTTGATTTCAGTTCTAAGGGAAACAACTGTGAATAACTGAGACCAAACTGTTCTGAAGGACTATATGAACATGTGAAAAAACCATAGGCTGGGCGCCTGGGTGGCCGAGTTGGTTGAGTGTCCCGTCGGACTCTCGATACCAGCTCAGGTCATGATCCCGGGGTCGTGAGATCAAGCCCAGCATCAGGCTTTGCGCTGAGCATGGAGCCTTTTTAAGATTCTCTTTCTCTAAAAAAACAAAACACCCCATGGACTTACAGTTCCACAGTTATATGCCATTATCATTTTGCAGATAACGATTAGGCGTATGAAATATACAAGTTATCTTTTTGTTATAAAAATCATCTTTTTCTTCCCACTGCTGCCCAATGTTTAATTTCTGCCTGAAAGGCGTGGTTTTTTAGGATGCCCTTGAAGAGGAGCCATTCTTGTTCTACTTGCCACAGGAAAACCCCAATTAGGAACTTTTCAGTCAAAAGAGATCAGCTTTTCCAAACAAACAATAGGTAATAAACTTCTTAAAAGTAAATGGTAGCTATTCTCAAATGATGCGTGGGTGCAGGTATACTGACTGGTTACTACCCACCTGATTTCTGAAATGAATGAGAAGTGATTTTTACAAGATCATTTTATATATGAAGTTCTTGAAAAGAGGTGATCACTAAGGCAGGTGTGTAAATGCTGGTATGTGCTATCATCCCTATATATTGTTGCAAGGAACAAAATATTAATAGTACTGAGCCAGAGACCTATGTGAGCTCCCTCTGACTGAAAAACAAAAAACCCAAAACACCAACTTTTAGATACCACTTCGTTAAAATGTGCGGCTTAAAACTACCAAACTTGTGCAAGGAGCAGCTGCAGAGTAAAGCAGACAAAGACGATTTTCATAGATACATAAGAAATCAAATTTTATAAATTTGGCAGAGAGTGTATTTCACAATGCAGATGCTGCTAGACTGATAAAGTCTAAGCCTCAGAGTGAGATAAAGAGAGGATTTATAATCCACATTAAAATCATAATCTAACCAGTAGGGGAAGTTTTTTATCTGGAAATGACTTAAAAGAGTTTTAAGCATATAGTTTGAAATTCTCTAATGTGACGGACTTAAATACTAATTTTAACTTAGGCAAGATACCTTACTGAACTGAAATCACCTTCAACCAACCTAAAGTGTATGGATAACTTGGCAATTAAAAATACCAAATACCTTTGTCTTTCAGCTTTGTAGGAGCTAGTAAGGTCGTCAAAAAGCTTGCCATTCATTTCCATTAGGGTTTTCAGCACGTTGTATACCAGTGCTACAATGGTCCTAAAATGAAAGTAAGCAGTGCTGGGTTATAGGAAATACAACATGACTATCATCTCTAAATAGTGGCTGATTCACTTAATCCATTTTAGAGATGACAGACAAAGGTGCAAGAGGTTTAGGAATTTGCTCAAGGTCACACAGCCAGGGGTGATAGAGATGGTCTGATTCCAAAATTTCACGTCTTTCTTATCATGCTTAAACTCTTAAAGCGTTATGGTTATCTTCATGGCTGCTCTCCAGTCTCAAGCTAACAGTATTAAAAGATGAAAAAAATCACCTACCATAACTTGTAAACAAAACAAAAAACCCACAAAGGAGGATAAGGGTGTTACAGAAGTTGGAATATATGCAGTCTAAACATCTACACCTTAAGCACCTCCGCTTCTCCCTGGGATAGCACCGACCTTCGAGGTCTGTGCATCCTTGGCGGATGTTCGGTCGGTCTCCCCCACTGGGTTTGACCACACACTGGTGCAGAATGTCACACCAGGTCGTCCTACCTTCAGGGGGGTTTGCAATTTTAAACTGAAATTAACAACATACATGTATTTACAGCTCTGTGAAACTATATGTATATCGAGTGCACAATGGAATGAAACTGATGTTAACCTTAGAATAAGTTCCAAATCTGTATAGGTTTCATGTAGGAGTTAGGAGATTCAAAGACAAAAAGCACAAATATCAGAATACCACGATCAACATAAAAGACACTTACGGATTCCAGTGTTCTTTGGAGATTTTGTATAAACTGCCAAACATAATTGGCAGAATTTTATCAATATTCTCCTCAATCAAACTAAGAATATATTCATTATTCCAGAAGTACAATGCCCTTTCTGCAACCTAAAAAAAACATTTAGAAACGTCAAAACTAAAAGATAAAGGAAAGGCTAGTATAAAAAATGGCTTCGCTGAAAACATCATACCTGAAAATGAGAACTGGAGACACACTTGGATATTTGCTTAAAAAGGGGCTCTTCAATTTTTTTGAACTGTGTGGGTTCAATGACATCTAAGATTTCTTCAATTTCTCCTAAAAACATCACCTAGGTTAAAAAAATTTTTCTTTTAATAAATATGACAAATTTTATGAAGATAACATACAAAACTACAAATGAGAAGGCTAATCTACAAATTACACAGGGACAAAAAAGGTCTTGATAGTATACGCAATTTACTATAATGCTCAGCTATCCCACCAGGTCTCTTCAATCCCCAGAAAACCAGCTCCTGCTAGGTAGCAGTAACAATACAGCCAAGCCCAAAGCTGCGTGGTTTATATACTGAAGCCCTAAGATTAAGAAGTTTTAGTGAGATTGTACTATTTTTGTTTAACAAAACCTACTTCTTTCTGACTGCATGTTTTTGGCCAAAATTTCAGCAGTCCTCTGATCACCTGCAAAAAAGAAGTTTAGCACAAATTAAGCCATGAAGTTGGTCAATCCCAGGAAATTTTTAGTAATTGTGATTACATAACATTCATTCTGAAGTAGATCAATATTTAAGTGTATCCCCAGACTTTCTGCTCGGCTTTACACTTCCATGAATAAGTATTTGCTGAGTGTGTCTGTACCAGATACTGTTCTCGATGCTAGGAAGACAGTGATGAACAAGACAGGTGACTGGTGACCCGGATTTTCAAAAAGCAGGGAGACCAATGGAAGTTATTCATGAAACATGTAAGTAATTTTAATAGTTAAGTGCTACTTACTAGGAAGAAAATAAAGGAAAGTATGATAATGACTTGGTGGCATGAGTGAGGAAAGTTAATTTAGGGAGAAAATAAGGAACAAAGAATTTCTATTACTTAAAACCATTTGAAGCACCAAGAAAGCCAGGAAGCTTCCCAATTTATTTGATAGCTAGCACCATCTTGATCACCAAGATACATGGAACGGATCGTGAATTTAAGTGAACATAATTGCAAAGATCTGTACTAAACTGAACATTAACAGGACAATATTTGCCCCATTATGCCTTATTCCAGAAATTCCAGGATAGTTCAACTCATTAACAGTTCTAAGTTAAAAAGGAAAAAAACTATATGATCATCTCAAGATTTTGAACAGTTGTTCAAAATGTCTGACTGCCTATATATTCTGATAAGAATTTAGTTTAGTAAGCTAGAATGAAGAGAATTTATTAGAAACCATCAGCAATCATCTTATATAGTGATTTCTTGGAGACAGGCGGTAAAACCATCAGGGCCTGGTACTTTCGTGGAAATGTATCTGACAGCCTTTTAGGTTATTTTATAGTTATAATCCAGTTACAGTTATATTCAATAGCCTGGTCCTGTAATAAACACTTATTCAAATTAGGAAGAACACTGTTCAGGAGACAGTCCAATAAGATAAAAAGGATCCAATGAATATTCTTGGACAGGAATACCAAAATTATACTTATTTGTCTAAGTATATAATAATTATATACTCCCTAATTTAAAAAACAAAAATTACTGGGGCGCCTGAGTGGCTCAGTTAGTTAAGCATCTGACTTCAGCTCAGGTCATGATCTTGCAGTTCTGTGAGTTCAAGCCCCACGTCAGGCTCTGTGCTGACAGCTCAGAGCCTGGAGTCTGCTTTGGATTCTGTGTTCCCCTCTTTCTCTGCCCCTCCCCTGCTAACACGTGCACGCTCTCTCAGAAATACATAAACATTAAAAAAATTAAAAAACAAAATTTCTAAAATGAGTAGCCAAATTCAATGTGGCCAGATAAATATATAAAAATCAATACCTTTGTGAAACATAGTATCAGTAATAATAAAAAAAGGTGCATTTCCTAACAAAAACTAATGTACATAAAGAATAAAATTTGCAAGAAATGTTTACTGATCGTGAGAGACTACAAATAGATGAGATGATTCAATATCATACATTTTTCCTATATTTAATGTAATTTCAATCAAATACCAACTGAATTACTTTCTGAAACTAGAAACATTTATTCTATAATCTGTAAGTGTAAGCAAATAACCAAGAACTTTTCTGGGTGGGAGGGGGAGAATTAACGGAATGGAACCCATATTACTGATATTAGCAACTAAAATGAGATGATATCAGCACAGAAACGGGCAAAAAGATATGAAATAGGGACGTGTAGCTAGCTCAGTCAGTAGAACACGCAACTCTTGATCTCGGGAGTCATGAGTTCAAGCTCCATGTTGGGTGTAGGGTGTAGAGTTTATTTAAAGAAGCAGGCAGGGATAGGAAACAAGACTATCTACAGTCATGTACATATATGTATATATGTATGACAAAGGTGGCATTTCAGTTCCATGGAAAATAGATGAATTAGCCAATTAAGTGGTGGTACTTGGACTGCTGTCTTCCCGTTTAGAAAGAAAAAAACGTAGCTGTGTTGGTAGCCAGACTCCTAAAATGATCTTCCATGATCCTTACTTCCTGAATTCACATACTTGGATAATCCCATCCCCTCCAATTGGGCTGGCCTAGTGACTTGCTTCTAACCAACAGAATGTGGCGAAAGGGACAGAATATCCCCTCCACGAGTAGGTTATAGAAGATTGTGACTTCCATCTTACTAGGAGATGGTCTAGAGCCTTCTCATCTTGCAAGCTTTGATCAAGCAAGCTGCTCTGTTGGAGCAGTTCCTAGTCAGGAACTGACTAGGCACTGAGGGTAGTCTCTAGCCAAGAGCCAGCTAGGAACTTGAGGCCCTCAGTCCAACAGCACTTGAGGAACTGAATTCTGCCAACAACCACATGAACTCAGAAGCAGATCCTTCCTCATGTGATCCTTTCTGTGAGAGCCCAGCCAGGGCCAATACGTCGACTGCAGCCTAGTTGGAGACCCTGAAGCAGAAGACCCAGGTAAGTAATGCCTGGATTCTTGTCTCAAAGAAACTATGAGCTAATAAATGATTTTTTTAAGCTACTAAATTTTGTGATAACTTGTTACATAGCAACAGAAAACTAATAAAAAGCAACAAAAAAGAAGACCAGTTCTTCACCCTTGTCACACACAGATTTCAATTTCAAATGGTGTAGCAGGTTAAATGATGGCCCTTCAAAAAATCTGTGTCCTAATGTCTAGAATCTATGAATGTGACTTAATGGGTCTTTACAAATAAAATTAGTTAAGGATCTCAAGGTTAGATCATCATTATCTGCATGGGCCCTAAATCCAGTGATGTGTCCTTGTAAGAGACACAGAGGACAGACAGAAGAGGCAGCAGTGTGAGTGTGGAGCAATGCCACAAGCCAAGGAGCGCCTGGAGACACGGGAAACTGGAAGAGGCAAGGAATGGAATCTCCCCTAGAGCAACTGGAGGGAGTGTACCCCTGCTGACAACTTGATTTTGGACTTCTGACCTTCAGAACTCTGGGAGAATAACTTTGTTATTTTAAGCTACCAAGTTTGTGGTAATTCATAGCAGCCCTAGGAAACTATTACTGATGGAATAAACATTTTATAGGTAAAGACGAAATCCATAAAATAACTAGAATAGGATACTGGAGAATATTTTTATAATCTTAAAGGGTAGAAGGATTTTTCTTAGTACGACATCAAAGCCAGAAACCATAATGATGAATAGATTCCACTACATAACATTTTTCTTCAGTTCTTTAAGGAAAGATTGAAAACTATATTCAGGGACCGCTGGGTGGCTCAGTTGGTTAAGTGTCTGACTCTTGATTTCGGCTCATGTCATGATCTCATGGTTCATGGGTTCGAGCCCCATGTCGGGCTCCATGCTGACAGCTTGCGGGGCCTGCTTGGGGTTCTGTCTCTCCCTCTCTCTGCCCCTCTACGGCTTGCACTCTCTTTCGTTCTCTCAAAATAAACTTTAAACACAAAACTATATTCAAATTTAAAAACTCCAAATGCATAAAAACTATTTGCAAAATATATCAGGAAAATGATTAAAAGCAGGCAAAGAACACAGAAATGTAAATGATCAATAACCACATAAAAGGATGGCTTAATCCTTGTAGTAATAAAAACCTATTAAAGTAAGATTTCTTACCTCTTTGACTAGCAAATATTTTAAAGCTTAACATTCAGCATTGGCCATGGTGAAGGAAAATGCATCTTCACACTCTTGACTGTATTAAATTGTTCAGACTTTTTGGAAGGCAGCTTGGAATATGTTAAAATTTCCAAGTACTCTTTGACTCAGCAACATGGTTTTAATTTTAATGATTTTTAAACATTTATATACATGGGGTGCCTGGTTGACTCAGTACAGCATGAATGCGGTTCTCGATCTTGGGGTCATGAGTTCAAGCCCCACATTGGGTGTAGAGATTGCTTTTAATTTTTTTTTTTTTTTTTTTATTTATTTTTTTGGGACAGAGAGACAGAGCAGTGAACGGGAGGGGCAGAGAGGAGACACAGAATCAGAAACAGGCTCCAGGCTCTGAGCCATCAGCCTAGGAAAGCCTCGACGCGCAGGACTCGAACTAATGGACCGCGAGATCGCGATCCTGGCTGAAGTCGGACGCTACTACTTTACAGCCCAGAGCCGTAGAGATTTTAAAAAAAAAATTTTTACTTAAAAAAAATTTATATAGTAAAATTCGTGTGTGTGTGTGTAGGTGTGTACTGTTTGTTCTCAGGATTTTTATATACACATAGATTTTTTGTTGCCAACACCACAGACAGGACACAGAACAATTCTAACACCCTAAACATCCCCTCACCCAGCAACATGTTTCAACTACTCATGTGTCCATAAATTCAAGACTGATTAAATATGTTATGATAATCCATATAGTGGAATTCAATGCTACCAGTGAAAGCAATAAAACAGATTAATATGGAAAGATAGCCACATTATACTGAGAAGTAAAAACACCTGATCAACACTGTCCTACAACTGAACCTACACACACACACACACACACACACACACACACACACACACACATATAGAAAAAATTTCTAGAAAATATATTCATCAACTTAAATGGTTCTCAAATTTTAGGTGACAAGATTTTAAGGAACTTCGTCCACATTGTGCTTTACGATTTTGTATTGTGTGAACCAAATTAACACACATTACTTTCACAAAGAGAAGTAACATTAAAGTCATTTCCATTTTAGAAAATAATTTCAATTGAAGATCTGGGTACCTAAATAATGTAATAAACTAGCCAAAGTTCTGACTTACTTATAGTTTGCAATAAGCTTAGATATGAATACCAGGTTTCTAGAGAATAAATATGAAGGCTCAAACCCAAGTAACATGGCCATAATTTTGGTGCTGGAATGGACTATGGGAGAAATGGAAAGATCTATATACCTGTACAGATCATTATGAACTGAAAAATATTTTCCTTTGTCAACCTGGACATTTACCTTTCTACCTTTTCATCCTGTTCCTATTTCCATTAACTCAGCTCCCCTAAGAAAGATCTCTGGCCATCATCCTCCCTAATCTACTCTTTAAAAACAAATAACCTTTCTTCTCTATCCATCCCATATTAATTTGTTTAAATTATATCTGTCTACAATTCAACTATGAACCATGACTTACTATGGTACGGATTTTGTCTGAAGTCTGATGAGAGGTACCATGGATTTATATTATGTTTTAATCTACTTTAGAGGTTTATGTGGTTTCATGTAATACTAGGCTCCTAATTCTCCTGATTAGTCTTGAAAAAACTATTTTTTAGCTGTTTCCAGAAAGATTTGCAAGTGTAAAAGTTCAAAAACTCAAAAGTATTAGGAGTGGAAAAATATCTTTTGTTCATTTACACAAAGTTCAATCAGAGAAAGACTACTAAGTTTATAATCTTCAGGCATCCCTAGGGATAGCCTCAGTAACTTCATAATAAAGAAAATCTCATTTAAATCCTTTAAATGCTTTGCTTTTCTTCAAGAACTCTTAGATATTTACGTTAAGGATACCTAGAAAACATTCTGTCAAATACTCATCAATGTAAAAAGGTTGTTTTCTCTGCTTTCATACGTTTCTATTTCTCCTTACCTTTTGTTTTTCTTAAATGTTCAATTTTCATAGTAACATTTTTATTCTCTCCTGAATCTGTGGGCAACAGTCAACAGAATTCAGACTGAATTGCTATGCTGATTCATAAACAACCTTTACTCCAAGAATACATCTGTATCACCAAAGGCAAGGACATGTTTTCAATCCCTATCATGTAGTTTATTATTAATAAGAGAGAAAATCCTAGTTCTAAAAACAAAACAAAACTCCAGGGAATAGTTTTGGGACCCTCACAGTACGTTTTAATTTTAAAAGGTGAATGAAGATTAAAAATGTTGTCAGTAAAGACAATATGTATGTAAAATTTCACATGCAGTCACTAGATCCTATCATCACACATCTCTGCTATATTTTAGTATTAATCTATATTTAAGCTATTCAAGAGACATCCTATAGCTCATAAGAACTTCCCCTCCCAACCCTGTTCTCTGAATGCAGATTAACCTAACATTCCTTCTAAATGACTTTAAAGTATATTACTACTGTTTGATAGCTCTACACAGGTATATAAAGAAAAAGCCACAATGAAATGCTACAATGTAGATTAAAGACAAAAATAAATAGGACACTTACTGGTTCTGTTAGTGTGGTATCTTTCTCCAGGAACTGTACGACACAGTAGGCTAGCTAAAATGCAAGGGACAGTTTATAAATATTACTGAAAGAAATAACAGTGATGCATGATTTTTATATTTAGTTAACACAAATGATTACGTCATTTTAACAAATTTTACTCTAATCCAATACGTAACCATGAATATATTCACAACTGTGTCACTTGTTAAGCTTGAAAAGTAACTTACAGGTCAAAAAATGTTCTTTTTTCAGTAGTAACTTCTGAATGTAAGGACTACAGCTAACATTTTAGTTTTTCAGCAAGTTTCTGCATGTATACCTATGCTGATAGGATATTATTTACATACTCCTAGAGACTAAAATCATTGTCCAACTACACTATCAGGGCTAGATGGAACATTCTGCAGATATGTGGGACTCATTCAAAGCCAAGGCCTAGGCGTTGGTGGTATAGTGGTGAGCACAGCTGCCTTCCAAAGTCAGGGCCTAGACTAGAAAACAAGAAAACTGGATATTATCTCTCCTATATCTACATTAAAAGTGCATTGAGTTTATTTAATAAAGCTAAATATTGTAATATGTTTAAATTATAATGAAAGTTTGCTTTAATTTACAAAGCAAATTGCTTAATTATACCTAAAATTGCTGCCTTAATATTTCTCAGTTTCTCTGCCTTTATATCAGCCTTTGAAACAATGTTCATTTCATTTGAAAGTTGTCTGAAACTTACCTGAGCATGAAACAAAGCTAATCCTTTTGCAGTATGCATAGGAATAAGAACCTTCATTAGAAATTGTTTATGTTCTGCTTTCAGTGGCAATGCAAAGCCATTGATAATACTGGAGGGAAAAAAAGGCAGGGGGAAGGGTTAAGTAGTTACTACTTTATTTCCAAAAGTTATATCCATGAGTAAGTACCTAAGGAACACTGCTCTGCTTCAGTCCTGGTGTTGAATGACTTAGTCATCTTCAAACTACTTTATGAATTCTGTTCTTCTAAGTCATTCAATGATGCCAAAAAGAAAACTGGGACTGCCAATTAAAGTCCCAGGAAGTAATTTCTATCTTCATTTTCTAGAAAGCCTATCACTTTATGCATCATTGCCTTTATTTTCCTACCTAAAGCCACAGGAGAGTATCACAATGTTGTTAGAACTTTCAAAATTTTCTGAAGCAGAAGTATTTTCTGAAGTACATTCTGAAGTTTCTCTTACTTTGCTAAAAGATCTGAAATTAAGAAGTAGTTTTCTCCATAATCACTCTCTAACTATAAATAGAGGGGGCCTAATCTTCTCAAGTTAATATTGCTATGTGATGAATACAGAAAGCAAAATGTTCACATAAACTAAAAGGCTATAGATTCTTCTAAAAAGAACAGACGGATTAGGAAGGGCCTATCAATATCTCAGCAAGAATTCTTATAACTTCATCAAAGATTCACTATAGTTTATTTCATTTCTTCCCAATCAGATCCTATAATTTCTGAGGCAGTCTGGCAAGATCAGGCATAAAACATGCCACAGCTTCAAAAGCAGGAAGAAGCCTATTCTAAAACAGATGTCTTGCATGGCAAGTACTTTAATATGCTGACCGCTTAAAAAGCTATAAAAAGAATTCAGTTGAGAAGCTATGTCTTGTGCTCTATATTTAAACTCTAAAATATAAAATAATTTCTCCAACCCCAGTAAGATTCTAATACATAAAACGTTCAAAGTTATTTAACTCTTAAAAAACAATGACCTACCTTCCTAATATTTCAAGGAGTTCAGCAACACCATTGAAATGTTCTGTTTCATATATAAACCTGAATTTAAAATAAAGACAGGTGTAATGAAAACTCAAATATTAGAAAACTAAATTAAGAGGCAGGAAAGTAGAGAAATCAATCCTAAGGGCAACTATAAGAAACCTACAAGTGTGCTTCAGGAATTCTTTGTAAGCTATCTTGCCCCAAACTAGCTACCTCTAAGCAATCTTATAAAATAAGGCCTAATTCCTATTAAGTCACATACACTTTTGCTATAATCTAGCTGCAGAGATAACAGAATATTATTTCACCTGGAAGATTTTATTTTACTTAAAAATGTATAAGAAAGATGGGCTTTCTCAAAGAAATACTTTTCAAAATAGGAAACCTCCACCCACAGGAAAATCTACGAGGTAAGGACCCATATGGAATCAAGCCACTTTTATTCATAGTTTCTCTAAACCTAAACTACACAGGCTGTCTAGCTTTCCAAGATTAGGCTTGCTGTTAAAGCAGAAGTCATGAACTCAAATGACTACAGGACAGGGAAGTATCATGACTAGAGTAGACTTAGGAGGACAGAGACCTCAGGAAGATGTGGTCTCTCAAGGAGGCAGCCATTACTGATCTCGAATTGTTACATCATACGAATGCTAGCCTAATTCTGCCACATTTCCAAATAAACCAAGCCTGAAATGTGGTTACATTAAAGCAAAATCTCCTAATTAGAAGCAATTACTTAACAGATTATCACTTATAGTCAAAATATATACTCCATATAAATTTAGTTTTGCCAGAAAATCAAAACTACTTTTAAGAGCTATTGATTTAAATATTTACACACAATTTTTTAAACAAAAGGCTCAAAGAAGTAGGTAACTAGACATAAATTCTCCTCAATAAACCTTAAACATGAACATTGGTATTACCTATTCTAAACAGTCTTCATAACTATTGTCCACTTAGATGAGAAGTAAAGTTGCAAGTTTCGAAAAAGTTACATGCAATCATGACACCCACAAAACAGGCTAAAAATGACTCAAATACTTATCAACAGTTCAGTTATAAAAATTAAAGGAACTGGAATAAAAAGAAAACATGGAAGGGGAAAAGTGCTATATATGAATATATGACCAGTTTACCTGAGGAAAATGTTGTTAATTTGTTTTCTGATGAATGCTCTTAATCCAAGAAATTTCCCATAAATTCGGTGCAGAACAGTCTTCAGGAAGTCACGTTCTCTGGGATCTTCACTATCAAAAAGCTCCAGGAGCTTTAAAAAAAATCTGAGAAATTACTTTTTAAAAATAATTGAGCTAAAATTTCACTTTATTCTAATTTGATTTCAAGATAACCCATGAAATTTTTAAAAAAAATTTTAATGATTCTACCTTATCAGGTTAATCTTATTCTTGCTAAATAATGAAGCTAAAGAAAAGTTTAAGGAGTATTTCTTTTCACTTCATTTCAAAAAACAACACATAAAAATATAAATACTTCAAAAAGTGTATAGTTTTGTTTTGTATTTTTTTTGCTTTGCCACTCATTTAAAAATTCTATCCTCTTCTTGACTACTAACCATGCCTCATAATTTTAGAGTTTTGAAATCTGAGAGATTTTTAATGCTTTTTGATAGTAATTCAAAACTACATAGAAAAATCTTAAGCTTGCAAACTGCAAGTCGTTAAATAAATGAAGTTTGAAAATACACATGTGCAAATGAGTATTTCCTGTTTACTAGATTTATACAAACTAAAATTGTTTTGTGATTTTACACTAAAAATCAAGTCACCATGCCAACAGCTCAGAAATTAATATTTAATTAGTAGGAGAAAGTATTGGCAGATACATGCTAATAGAGTAAAAGTCATTCAGGAAATAATGAAATAGAGATGAGACTACAGATTTTTATTTAAAGTCACTTTAGCAACTGGCTGCAAAAGTTTAAACCAGTTCAAACTGGCTAATTCACCATTTTCCTCCTATACCTCTACACAACTCTTCAGCAAAGGCAGAATAAAGAGATCTTTGAAAAATTTAAAGTCAAAGCTCAAATTCCCATTTTTAAAATGGCAAAGAAACTGAATTTCTGCTGTCAAAAAATGGTATTACTGTATTTTAAATAAAACATTGGATTTTCTTAGGAAAAATTTTAAAGTAATTTCTCTATATAGAATATAATTACCTATATGAAGTCATCAAGGAATTTTACATTCTGTACTTTGATATTGATAATTACAGTCAAGATGGCAGGCTCTGGACTCCTCCAAGTTCTTTTCCCATTCTGTCTTGAATTGTATGTGATTATTTACATATGCATCTCTTCTATTAGAGTGAATGTCTTTTGAGGGTTGTGATGACTTTAGTCATATTTACATACCCTTAAACAAATGTCTTGTTTATAGTCTGCATTCTTTGTTCACTAGGTTATTAAAGTCCTGAATGAGGCTCCAAACAAAAATATCCAGAGTATAAGAATTTGTGTTAATATACCTAATAAATTCAGTTCAAATTATTCTAATTAAAAATGGCTAACCTACTCACTTGAGACACTCATATTCAAGTTTCTGATGTTGGGTTTACTTAGAAGATAAGCTTGCAAATTAATAAAAGGGGCCCTTACTTGTTAAGGTTGACATGTTTAATTCAAGAATAAATGAATCTAGTACGAGTTGATCCTCAGGAGAAAAATATAAACTAGAGAATACCTGTTCACCAACTGTTAAATCTATTTAAAGAAACCTATTTTGAAATACTGTAATCTAAATAATCTATTTATAAATATAAATATAAATTCATATAATAAAACGTACATAAAACTAGTCATCAGGGAATTGTTTCTTATTCTGGCTGTGATACTTATCTCTAACTTTGCTTTTAAGGGTAATTCATAACCTCTGAGCTTGTTCGTCACTGATAAAATGAAGAAGGCCGAAACTAATCTTGTGTCTTCTAAGTGTAGGGAACATTATGGTCAGAGAGAGTCTAGTTTGAATCCTGATTGTGCCATCTACTAGCTGTGTAAAATTAGACACACATGCTTTATATAAAAGCATATAAGGACAATGCCAGGCACATAAAAAGCACTCGGTAATTCTTAGCTTCTTTCTTTCTTCTGAAATCCTATGATTTGAACATAACTTGGAATTATCCAAGTATTTTTTTCTCTTGAAATATGAATGTCCAAATTTATACTTAATTTTTTCCTGTACTTTTAAGTCTTAAAATTACCACCTAATCAAATAATTTCAAAATACAAAAGCTAAGGATTCTCTCATATACTATTCATAAAGAATAATATGAATACATCACAGAAGTGATCTATGAAAGCACAGCCATATAAACTGCTAGGAACAAATTACTGGGCTTTGGTTTCTCGGATAATTCAGGTATTTAGAGTATAAAGTAGAAGTTTTCTTCTTGTTTCTCTTCAAACCCATGGAATAAGCCAGCAGCAGAAATACCTCAAGCTCTAGACTGAAGAAGCACTAAGGCAACTGTCCCCCTCAACCTGCTTTTATGTTAAACACAATTTAATCTGGTATTACTAGAGTTCCTTAATATACTCTATTCCTTCTGTAGCACACAAGAGCTACCGAAGGAAATAAATATGCATTCATCTGCAATTACCAAAATCACAAAGTTCTATTTAATCTGATTTTTACTTGTGAATGAAATGTAAATTTTACTGTTAGCACACACCCAATATTTCTTTGTAATTTATGAAGAGTTGCTTGAATGGCTGAAGGACATATTCCTGACAATATATCTTCATTGATCAATACACTAACAGCAATTAGTCAGAATACTTTATGTGAGGTCAGGTGTCGCTATAAATGATGAAAACTGAACTCTAAATAAATATGCGGAACTCATGTTTGTAGAATCTTTATTATACAACAGTGGTAAGAGGGTAGGAAAGGTCCTCGTAATGATTTTAGTCCTCGCCTCCGCACTGGGTTCATTGCTACCTTTTGACTCATCTCCTACCTTTCTTGAAAGTGCAAATAACTCTAGAAGAGAAGAGCATCAAATTCCTAATGAGACCTTACATACTGATAAGTATTTCCAAAGAGAAAATAAACCTGCAAAGATTTGGTCTACTTCACCACAATCCTGTCTAGGGCCAGCCAGTTCCCCTCAGTTAAAGAGAGGCTTTTACATTGTTGAAAAGACTTTGAAGATTAAAATAAAAATGAACACATTCTGAAAAATTAATTTTCAGTATGTAGTTTCCAAAAAATAATAGCTTATAACTAATTTATAAAACAAAAGAAGGTATCCCATTATGTTTCATTCACTTTATCTCCTTTTCTTCTTAAATATCCCATTTATCTGCGGTTTAGGAACTGGGAGGCTAGAATGCCCAAGGTGCGAAGGGGAAGGAAAAAGGAAAGGTCATTGGTAATTGTAACCGATAACAGGAAAGGAGCCGAAGCCCAAACTCCTAATGGTGATTCCATTTCTGTTTTTCCTCTGTCATTTCAAAGTTACAATGCTTAAAACATACCCCAAAGTTCAAGTTCAAAGACTTAAAAATTTAAAAGAAAGCTTCTTGTCCTTTGATTGAATGGTCATACCAAATTTTCTCAGATTGTCCAGAAAGGCTTGCTTTTCTGGTCTTTATAAAATAACTGTAAGAATTCAGGATTGGATGTAATTCCACTGATGTCATTAGAAGCTCACTCTTGTTTAAAATACTCTCGTATTCTCATAGCTCCTTCACTTTTACCTTAATTGTCTGGCAAGAGTATTAAACGATGTTAAAGTAAAATAAACCATTTAAGTTTTGACAGACTATTTCAATCACAAATTAATGAATCATTGCTAAGATGAACCCAAGGAAATTTAAGACATAAGAATTCCTTACCTGCTGTACAAATTTCTGGTCAATGTATCGCTTTGCAATGCTAGGCTGGAAATCAGGGCTCTCCAAAAATCTTAAGAAGAATTCATACACCAACTATGAGAAAAAGTCAAATAAAAACTAAGATGATGCCTATAAAATTTTACCCTATTAATCACTTCATACCAAACATACCTCCCCTACCAACCTAGGAGGGAGATTTCAGAGCTCATTAGAAAATGTGATGAGTTGGTAACATTTTTTAAAAAACTAAATATATGTTCACAATTTGGTCTCCTAAGCTGGTAAATTTGGGGGTTAATTGCTTCACATCACTTGCTGAAACTGTAATTACAGGAACTAGAAAATAAATATTTTGCCTAACAAAATATTTAACTAAGAAAGACTGTTTTGTAGTCCATACTCACTGGGAACATGTTCATTTTCCAGTGGACTCCTAACCCACTTCAATTTAATTTCTAGAGTTCTTTAAATATAGATCAGAAACTTACAGGTAAGAATAAACTAGATTGCAAGGGCTGGTGTATCAATAACAATAAAAAGAAAACCTTTACGTCTTTCTATAAAACTATAGTGGGGCAAACAATTAAATCAAAACCAGCATACCTTATCTACACTTGGGAAGTAATGAACCAAATTATGTAAATTCAGGGTTCAGGAAGGAATGTCTGTTTACCAAGGTGAATAAACTAGGAAGTCACAGCAGGACTTCTACTTAAAAAGGGCCAAGCATTTTTATGGGGCGCCTGGGTGGCGCAGTCGGTTAAGCGTCCGACTTCAGCCAGGTCACGATCTCGCGGTCCGTGAGTTCGAGCCCCGCGTCAGGCTCTGGGCTGATGGCTCAGAGCCTGGAGCCTGTTTCCGATTCTGTGTCTCCCTCTCTCTCTGCCCCTCCCCCGTTCATGCTCTGTCTCTCTCTGTCCCAAAAATAAATAAAAAACGTTGAAAAAAAAAAATTAAAAAAAAAAAAAAAGGGCCAAGCATTTTAAAAGTAGCAAAAAATGTTCACTTGCTACCACAAATCAGAATTAAATAAAGTAAGGTTTAGTTCAACTTGCTTCCATCATACCTACATCTGTCTTTCAAGAAGAGGAAAATACACTAAAGTTCTTTTATTGTAACCTAACAGCTCATAAAAGACAGGAGTATAGCCCCTGGAATTTAAAGTAAGGAATTTGCCTTACTTTATTAGCTACTGAAAAACATATTAATCAAGCATCCTAAACATAAAAAAGGAAGATTATATCCTAAAGCAAAAACAGTCATTCAATAAACAGGTATAGTTGGGCCACATATAGAAGGGAGAAAAAAGGGGCACCTGAATGGCTCAGTTGGTTCACCATCCAACTTCGGCTCAGATCATGATCTCACAGTTTGTGAGTTTGAGCCCCACATCAGGCTCTCTGCTTCAGAACTTCTGTCCTCCTCTCTCTCTGCCCCTCCCCCAGACTCTCTCTCTCTCTCTCATTCTCAAAAATAAATAAACATTAAAAAAAAAAGGTTGCTATAGTAAATTTACAGACTTTACAACACACACAAAAAAGCATTACCAGATCTGGGGCTTTATCACTCACCACACAATAACAATTTTTTATTATTTTATTCAATTATTTTATTCAATAATATTATACAACAGTTTTAGGAACAAATATTATTTGTGTTTGATGCATCTTTTTTGCCCAGCTGTGCAAAAGGAATGATGCTTATCTGGTCTAATTATTATCTTTTAATTTTCATGTTAAGTATGATATGGTAACAAGAAAACAAATTGGTATCAGTTTTATTTGTAAATAATCTTCTAATCAACTAACTATGTAGATAATTTTGCTTTGGAGTACACACATGCAAAAAAAAAATCTACAAAAATTATCAGAGTCCTCTGAAGAGCAATACAGTCTCATGGACTGCTACACAGGTTCACTGGCACAACTGTCCAGTGCCCATTTTCATGTCCAATACTGGCCTGCTGTGGTAAGTTCCTACTTCTGGTTATTGGCATAGAGCTCCTAAAACCCTTGGAATTTCCTGAGTGATAAGGGTAAGAGGTGCATCTTTTGTTATAAGAAGCCCCTTTCAATCATGCCTGAGTTTAGGCTAATGAGATGACTGTAGAAGGATGAAGCCTGCTTATCACAGCAACCAACCCTATGATAAGAGGGTTGAAACTTTCAGTCCCAAACCCCATCCTCCAGGGAGGGGAGAGAGACTGGAGACTGAGGTCAATCACTGATGGCCAGTGATTTAATGGATCACGTTCACCTCATGGAACCACCATCAAAATCCTCAACAAAGGGGTTTGGAGAACTCCTGAACTCCTGGGTTGGTGAACACATCAAGGTACTGGGAGGGTAGTACCATGGAGCCCCTTCTCCATACTGTGATCTATGCATCTCTTTCATTTGGCTGTTCCTGACTTGCATCCTTTATAATAAGCCAGTAACAGTAAATGAAGTGCTTCCTGTGTTCTGTGGGCAGTTATGGCAAATTATCAAACCTGAAGAGTGGATTGTGGGAACGAACCCCAGACTTGAAGCCAGCTGGTCAGAAGTACAAGAGGCCCAGACTCCTCTGACTGCCATGTGAAATGGGGTGTGGCCCCATGGGACTGAGCCCTTAACCTGTGGTATCTGTGGTAACTCTGGGTCGTCAGTGTCAGAAATGAATAAATTATAGGACACCCAGTTGGTATCCACAGAGAAGTGGAGAATTTCTTGGTGCAGAAAATCCACACATTTGGTGTCAAAAGTGTTATGGGTAGAGGAAACAAGTTTTCCTTTTAGCTACATACAGTGGGAATGTTATTAGGCACTGTACAGCCCCAAAAAGCTTATTCACTTGTTAGGGAGGTGAGACAAAATTAAACATATAAAATGGTATATATGCAACAATTATATGGCACAGACTATGAGTGGAGCAGACATTTAGAAAAGGGCAATAGCACTGTGGAATAAAGTCAGCAGGAAAAATAAAATCAGCAGGAGGAAAATACAACTTGGGCCCTACATTTGATCTGACTTTGGATAAGCCAAAAAGAAAAAGAAGGGCTTTTATAGAAAGGTAGGACATGTCTTGAGCACGAGATATAGGGTATGGGTTGATGGGTATGGAATCAGAGACTCAGAACCTTTATGAAAATCCCTAGTTAAGTGTAAGTTAAGATTTGTGGTGAGGGGAGACCAGGTTAAACAGGAGTCAAGTACAGCATGCATTAGCCTATATACTCTACCTCTTAAGATCTACATCAGATATATAGGGCTTAAGGCTTAATACTATTAGGAGTAATTATGTATCTTTTGGGAGATTTGCATGACATCCAGCTGAATCCTCTAAATCACACATTCATTTGAAACCTGTGCCTATCACAGATACACATTAGCATTTCTTACAGAGTTTTCATCTCCGCCATTTACCTGACACAGTGAATATTAAGGGACCAGTTAAGATAGCAGCAAACTGCTATTATGCAGCCAACTTAGCAACAGCAAAGAGCCGATAACAAAAGGTTATCTAAACACATGTTGAGTAATGTGAAACCGAAGTAAAAGAATTGCTAGTGATCTACAGAGCTGACAATCTTCAAGATGGCCATTAAGACTATGCTTCTATAAAATTGTACACTGTCCCCACTGTCACTCTTTCTAAACCCTTTATCCTGCATTACTTTTTTCTTCTATTTATTACACCTTGACATAGTATTATTATTTAATCTTTTCCACTAGACTATAAAGGATTTTGCTTACTGGCTCAATACATTACCCCCAATATGTAGAGCAATGCCTGGAACATACTATTTCCTGAATGAATAAAAATCACAGTTGTTCAGAGACAATATATTTTTGTATAAATACTGGAGTTTTTCTATGTTCTTATATATGAAAAAATAATTTGCTCCAAGAATCTAACAAATAGTGCTGCAAAGAACAATAGACACTTGAGCAATGCATTAATTTTTCTAGTAAAATGGCAAACTTCACATACGTTCCTACTTCTATGATCCAAAAAATACCCTAAAAAGTAAGTAAAAAATGTAAACAGTTAACTAAAAAGGGTAATCTTACCATTCTACTCCATAATGACCGTATCTTTACTAAGGTTTAGTTAAAATATATAAAATTCTGATCTTCATCAATAAAAGATTTTAGAAAAAGGCACAGCAAAAACAGCAGAGATGATTCAAGTATCTGAAAATGAGATCTATACACAAAGCTAAGAGGACTGGAAATGTTTGGCCCAGAGAGGCAAAAGACTGAGAAGAGACTTTCACAAACTGTAAATACACAAAAGACTGTCTTCAAGGAATATGGCCCAACGTTTTCCAAACTCTTTTAAGAGGAAACTAATTTAAATGGGTTGTAAAGTGGATTTAATATATGAAAGAATTCATGTAAGACTCAACATATACTGAACTAAATGAGATATTTTGTATTAAGTGACTGAACAGTGAATGTGACCAAGAGCTATTTGGATGTGAAGGTGTAGACTGTAAAATGTATAGGTTTCTAATTTAAATTTCTAATTATAAAGATCACAAAGAAGAGCTTCTGGTCCCTAAAATACAGGTTATCCCTAAAAAGGTCTATGTTATAGTCAGTACCCCAATAATTACATCTTAAGTATCTGTGCCACTAAAGAAAATAACTGATACAAGAAAATTAAAATACTGCATGATCTGCCTGTATTCCAGGCTAGTACAGCAGCGAAGCATCCCTAATTACCTAGAAGTCAGCACACAGAAAATTATAATCTTGTTGGTCCTCAATAAAAACAAAATACTTAGGAAAGAAAATAAAAATAATTTATAACTGTTAATGAATAGTTGCCATATAATACATTTTATAAATTAAAAGATATGATCAATTCCCCAATAGTGAAACAGTTCTTTTTTTCCTTTCTTCTTTATTTAATTTATTCCATTATTCCAATGCTCATTAGTATTTCCATTACAGTATGGAAAAAGAGTAGAAAGACAAAAATGATAAATTAGCACATTTTTAGGAAATTCATGAACGGGTTGGGGAAATAAAAACTTGAAAGGTGTTGAAATTACTTGTGATTATTCCTTCTCATTAACTAAATATAATGCTTATTTTACATCC